ACCTTACTGCACATATACATGACACCACCAACCATCTCTTAAAAGATTATTAAGCTACTGTGTAAAATGTAGGAGGAGTTCAGGGAAGAAAAGTGTGACAGACGGACGGACGGACGGACGGACATGAGTAACAACAATATACCCGAACTTTCTTTAGAAAGTGCGGGTATAAAGACCATTAAACAATGCAAAATTGAAGCCGAGCAAACGAGGACCTCCAAAATATCAGAGGTGGGATCAGGTGCCATGGAGGAGTGAGTATCTCCTGCTTACCTGCTCCATGTTATGATCGAGAACTAACGAAAAAAAACCCTCGAAAATTCAGTGTGTATATAATGGCCTAACAATCAGTATGAAAAACGTTAGTCAGCATTTGATTTAATGATAAATTGTATGTTCTGAACAAGGACATTGTATCGACAATAGAACTTAAAAAAATGATGACTTGAAACGAGACTGCTGTTATTCTTGACTCAGCAATTTTTTGTCAATAACTTACCTTGTTTTAATAATTGTTCATACGTAGAGCATGGTCTCGTGTATCGAATCAACTGAGATATATAAACGCCGTATGCAGCTGATGAAGGTATATTACTGCAAAAATTCCATTCCTATGTTGTTTGATATATTCCTTCAAACTCAAAGAAACCAAAAGAGTCCTACGCATCAGTTTCAGAGTTTGATATTTTGTTAAAGAAAGACATTAATGGCAAACTATAAAATGAATTTTATAAAACCGTGATAGCTTTAATTTTACTATCGTCAACGTCTCCCATAAATGTAGCATTATATAAAGTTTTCCCTAATGAAAGAATAGACGCGGTTATTAAGGTCTTTCGACTTCCTTCGGAAGACCTTACTATTTTTCTTATGTTTCCTATTATTATTATTATTCCCTTTTCATAGTACACGTGATTTCTCGGAAACCACAGAACCGATTTCAAAGATTTTTACAGGAATGATGCATTGTTGTAATATCTCCAGACCATTTTTTTTTTATTTTTTGAAAAATCACTTCCGGTCACATTTTTTGTCCGATTTTCTTTTTTTTTGAATTGCCATTTTGTCCAAACATCTTGTTAACCACTCAAGATTGAATCACGATATTTTCGGGGATGATAAAACACCTCTTTGAGTTACGCATGGCGTCTTTTGATTTTGCATCCGTCACTTCCGGTCGACACAGGAAGTGATATTCAATTTCAAGATTTTTTGAAAAATTCAACCGTTTTGAATAAAGGCAAATAAAACTTATGTTCACATTAACAATCGTCAGCAAAATGCATCCATTGGAACAACTTCCGGTGTAAACCGGAAGTAGTCGAAAAATAAAACTGTCTCTCTTGAGTCGAAAGAAATAGAATAAAAAAGTTTTATTTGAGTTTTTTTCAAAGTTTTTTTGTAGTTGTGACTTTGATGTCAGCCGGTATGATGCCTTAATTGTTTAAATTCGTGAAATGACGTCACTTCCGGTGATGAAAACGGAAGTAATCAGAAAATGCAAATTTTTGCGTTTTTTGACATGTTATTGGTCAATTAATGGCACTATAAGCGTCCAACCAGATTTTCCATCCCTTGATTTCACTTCCGGTCAAACCGGAAGTAGCCAAAAATTGCTTATTTTGCAGGTTTTGACGCAAATTGAAACTTTTAAATTTTAAAGTCCTTGGAGGCGTCTCTACTCATTGCTTTCTCTTATTGACGTCACTTCCGGTCGAAACTGGACGGAAGACCTACTCGTTGCTTTGCAACAAGCTTTGCTCTAGTTATAAGTAATATTCTTAATCACAAAAGGGCCCAGTCTTGTATTCCACCATATTTCAAGTTAAAGACCACACTTTTTATTTCTTACAAATCTACATCGACAATTGCTCCTAAACTGTTTTTAATTACAAGAAAACTCTACATAGCCTGGATATTGAGTATCTGAAACATAATCCTCCATCGTGTTCATGTTCTTCTTCATCCTATAACTATAGTCCTGCTAAACATGTTATTACAGGTGAAGTAAATATAGTTCATAATGAAGACCTTAGTACGTACTGGTCCCTGCCGACAAAGCAGGTAACAACATTGTCTTCGTTTGTAAGTCTCATTTTATAAATTGTATTTTTAGAAGAACTTGGATTCAATTCTTCAAATGGTATTCCTTCTTATACTCATACTTCCCTATATAAGAAAAAAAATTCTTCAAAATCATATGTCAGTTTTAAATATTTTAAATATCCCGAAGAATCGAAATGATTTTGAACTACTATATATATATTGGATGCCGAAACTTCATAAGAATCCTTACAATTAAAGTTACATCGTGGGTTCCAGTAAAATTTAATGTTCAACCAAGCCTCTTTCTTTACTCCTTACCAAGATACTGACAGTAGTGAAGAAAAAAAATCAAGAGTACTGTGCAACAATATATTCAAGAAGGAATGTGAATGAGATGAGGATATAAAAACAATCATTATTATACTCAAAAATTCCAAAGAACTTATGGACAATTTGAAATCGCAATATTTTACCAAAATCAACAGCTATAAAACTTACGACTTTTCAACTTTATACACAACCATTCCCCACGATAAATTTAAGTCCAGTCTTTTTGATGTCATTGACAGCTGCTTTTTCAATAAAAAATGTAACCCGTAAATTCACTTACTTGGTCATTGGTCATTTGCAAAATTATTTTGTTAAAACACATTCTGATTGCACACACAAGTACTCTGAATTTGACATAAAAAAGTTGCTTGAGTTTATGATCGACAATATCTATGTCGGTTTTGGAGACCAGGTATTCTAACAATCTACTGGAATTTCCATCGGAATCAATTGCGCTCCGTTATTAGCAGACCTATTTTTGTATTCATATGAAGCAGAATTTGTGCAAAGTCTTATGCGTTAAAAGAAAAAAAACCCTTGCTGTGACCTTCAACTTGACATTTAAATATATCGACGACGAATTGTCAACAACCAATGGTTATTTTCATTCTTATGTCGATACGATACATCCTGGTGAGCTTGAGATACATGTAAAAGATACTACAGAGTCTGACACATCTGTTTCATACTTGAATATTTACTTGAAAAAGACATTAACGGTAATCTAACAACCAAGCTCTATGATTAACGTGAAGATTTTAACTTTTCTATCATCAACTTCCCGTACTTTTGCAGCAATATAGTTACCTTCATCACCTGCATACGGCGTTTATATATCTCAGTTGATTCGATACGCAAGAGCATGCTCTACGTATGAACAATTTCTAAAACGAGGTGGATTATTGACAAACAAGTTGATGAAATAAGAATATCAGCAGTCTCATTTAAAGTCATCATTTTTTTAAGTTCTATGGTCGATACAATGACCTTGTCAGCAAATACAATTTATTATTGAGTCAAATGCTGAGTGCCGTTTTTCAAACTAATTGTTAGAGCATTATTTATATACTGAATTGACGACGGATTTTCCCGTTATTTCCTGATAATGATAAGGAGCACACAGCGGGTGTGACCGGTCAGCAGGGGATGCTCCTTCCATGGCACCTGATCCCACCTTTGATGTTTTGGAGGTCCGTGTTTACTCTGCTACTATTTTGTACTGTTTTATGGACTTTGATATTGAATATTGTTCGTAATCTCCATATCCTTCATTAACAACCGGGGCCAAGGGCGGGTGTAAATGGTCAATAGGGACAATAATTCTTTAAAGAGACCAAATCCAACATCTGGTGTTTCCACCTCCAGGGGTGTACATGTTTTATTTCCTGATGATCCGTTTTGTCTAAGTAGTTGAATGTAAAGAAGATTGATCATTGATTGTTCGATCGTTATCTTCATCTTCAAATCTTCGTCGATTATTTCATATTAAATTCAATTAATGTTAAAAACTGATACCACCATCGTTAAGATTCATTTTGTTGTGAACTTATATATCAATTTTTTTTTTTTTTGCTGAAACCCTGAATATGTATTACTAAAGGCATCGTCCGTTTCTTATATTTAAAGAATTATTTTTTGGGGAAAAGTACGACATGTATAATACGATTGCTTGGGGGGAAGAGAAACATTTTTAAAAAGACGATGTTTCAGCTGTTTTTGGTGATGACGTCATGAGATAATCCTTGCATTTCTTATGCAATTTATAGATGCTCTTTGTTTTTTTTTTCCCGTACTCAGTAGTTTTACGCTGTCTAAAATTGTCAAAGGTAGCAAAATTCATCAAAATTGCATTGCATTTTGCTGTTTAAAAATCATAAAACTTATAAGCACTTCATCTATAAATAGGAGGAAAATTTCTGATAGATGCATACCCATTGCATAACAAATGAAAACTCCAAAAAGTGTGGAAAAATATATTTATGTAACAATATAATGCATAGAAAATTAATTCATTGAAAACAGATAACAACTAAGTCCGACAATAGTGAATTATAACACAAGGTAGCAGATGAAACAGTCCAGGAAGTGACGTAAACAATGATGATGCAGACGACCTTTGTGACTTGGCATAGCGATCTAAAATGGAAAGTACACATACATTATAGTATATTCATAAACTTAATTAGATAATTAGATGTAAAATTATTGTAGCATAAATACAAGACATATTTGAAAGAAAACTAGCTTCCAATTTAAGCATACCTTATCTAATTTCTCAAAATTACGATTGGAGGTTATGCAACACAGTCAGAGAAATATGATTAGTATATTTTGCAACACAAAAAAAGAAAGAAAAGGGAAAAGGAATAGGAACAAAAAGGTGTCACTGTGAAACTCCTTGGTACTAATTATTCGAAATTCTTTGAAAATTAACTTTTCTTTATAAAGTTTTTTTCAGTGTGTTATATCACTATTAGATTTAAAGAACTTACCTTCGCTATCTGTTCCTCGCTTGGAGTTTATAGACCTTGCTGGAATGAAAGTTATACAAGTTATGAATATCGTGAAAAGTAGTAAAATTCCACAGGAGACACAAGTTAATAAAAAGATTTACGAGAGAAGAAATATAGCTAATACACAAAAGATCTATGAATAAATTAAGAAGACTAATGGCATTCAACATATTGACAGAGATTCTATGGTACAACAATGTAACCGACAGCTTTTAGGAAGTACCAGGGAGATTTCACAACATAACAGTTGGTGACCAATCAAATTAAATAAAACATTAAATATAGGTGACTAACCAATTAAAATAAAAGTTGAGAATTGGCAACAATTAACTAAAAGTTTATCATGACTGCATATTTAGCAATAAAATCTTAGTTTTGAAACGATGTCGTAAGTAAAGCTTCAACGTACATTTTCGTATACGAGGGTTGTTCGATATGTATTGTGTATTGTACGATATCTCAAAAGGATTCGATTCAAATAGTCAAATGGACATTACATCCCTTTAAAGTATTCTCCGTGATTTGAAATACACAATTTTAATCTCTGGATCCATTTCTGAAATGCGTCACGGTACGCTGATTTAGGTATACCTCTGAGGCACTGACTGACGGCTGAGCCAAGGGCCTGTCGGGACTGGTATCGACGACCAGATAAAAACTTTTTAAGTTTTTGAAAAAGGAAAAAGCCGCATGGTGCTAGATCCGGAGAGTATGGTGGGTGTGGCAAGACGGTAACCTTCTCAGACTTCAAAAATTGCTTCACAAGCTCAGATGTATGTGATGGAGCATTATCATGAAGAAGGCGAACATGCCTAAATCGCGAAACAGGACGTCGTCTCTGATAATATATTTCTTGAGCTTTTTCAGTACAACATCTCGGTAATACCGACCTGTAACACTTTTGCCCTTCGGCACCGAAATTTGTACGGCTAAACCATCACAAGAGAAGAATATGCAATAAAGGACCTTCTTTGTGCTCATTGTCCTTTTGGCAACTACAGGCCTTCTACCGTGTTTGGTTAGCCATAATTTGTTTCCAACTTTTCTTACTGGTTCGAAATAGTGAACCCATGTTTCGTCACCAGTAACTATGTTTGCAAATTGTCTTTGATTGAAGTTTGGAAAAAATTTTAGCAGTCGCTTAGCGGTTTGTATTCGTATCTTTTTTGGTCATCTGTCAATATATGGGGTATCCATCTAGCAGAAATCTTTCGTACTTTCAAAATACGCTTCAAAATGAAATGCACCCGCAATAGCGATATGCCAACACTTTGGCAATATCACGAATCGTGTGCCTGCCATCACTTTCAATTATTTCCTTGACTTTTGAGACATTTGTCTTGCCTGATACAGTCACAGGTGGACCCGATTTTGCTGCTTCTTTGACGGACTCTGTGCCAGTCAGAAATTTCTGTCTCCACCTACGAACTGTCTCATAAGATACCTTATCAGACCAATAAACTTCCCCCAATTTAGTAAAAATCTGCTTTACCGAATTACCGAGTTTTGTGCGAAATTTTATATAAGCTCTAATTTCTTCAATATTCTCAACCCTTTTCCCAATCATTTTTACAACAGTGGTCAACGACTGGCTCTATTGAAATGACGATTATTTTATAAGCATGTGTAGATGAAGGCTCGTGTTTACTGTTGGCATGGTATTGAATAGAGTTATCCAAGCGTATAAATATCGACGAAATCGTGCAAGGCGTTATCGCGCTGTGGTACAATACACAATACATATCGAACAACCCTCGTAAATATCGGTGTGGTGTCTAAACAGGGAATGACTGCTTGTGGCAAAAAGGACACATCAAAATTTTAAACAAAATTGGGGAATCGACAAATTACGCATTTACATTCAAAGCAACGACACATTTCCATTGCAGTTTCTTACCACTTAAAACATGAATTTTTGTGTTGCTGATCTGAGATTCGGACGTCCGACAAACGTACGTTCCGGCGTCCTGTAGTTGTGCATTTGTTATTGTCAGTTTACTAATTATCACCTTTTCTACAAATGAGGAATACTTTGTTATTGTGGTGCGCGAATTTTCTCTGACTTTATGTCCTTCTACAAACCAGTCAATGTCTCCAGTCGGCAAATCTATGGCGGTTGCATTGCATATCACCGTAATTGTACGACCCACTTCAACAAAGTTGGAGCTAGTCGAAATGTATATGTCTGCAATAATAAGAATAATGGGCAAAAATCACAACATCAATTTCATTCCACTGTTTCTATACACTGATAAACAAAACACTATTGACAACCAAAGTAAATCAAAAAATAAATTTTATTTTAATAAAGAAATATACATCAATTCATCAAAAATATTTATCTAAAACAGGGACCAAAAGAATCAAATCAAATTCAAGCATGGTAGTTCATTGACAAATGACGGTACAGGCCGAAGATGTGGATATCTGGAAAATTACATCTATCGATTAGAAATCATGCAAAAAAATGATTTAAATAAACACATTGATTTGTCCTAACCAAAGACTGCCATCTTGGTTTTTTGCAATATTAAAAATAGAAATTTTTATACAAATTTTGTGATATAGCTGAAGTGTTTTTTCAAGTTGGACCAATTATTCAACAATTATAGGAAAAATGATCACAGTGATTTACTTTGTTCGTCAGCTATGATAAATAATTTGTTGGCATCATTATTAAAATGCTTTGAATAATTCAAATGGACAATATCCATAATCCTGTAAACCAAACATTTTTCATCAAGTTGATGTATCATTATAATGGAAGAGTGTGAATGCTCTAATTTAAAATAAAATTTTAATCACGAAAGCTATTTTTAATATACCTGGCGGAGAAAATGTTTTCTGGGTCGTTGTAGATGGCGCTTCTGAAAGAAAAGAAACAACAGTATAACACTTCATTGTTTTAAAAATAAATATGCGAATGAATTGATTCATAAATAAAATAGCAGCACATGTTTGGCAGTTGGTCGTGACTTTCATCATAAGCCAAACATGAGAAAGAATTCCAGGGAGACGCGACACAATAATACGTTAATCTGATCAGCTGATATTAGTCCGATTACCCGATGAGGTTACACCGTAAATGATGAATGAGCAGAGAACTAGTTCAAAGAGAGTACGAGTACAAAAAAGATTAAAAGTCTGTCTGTCTCGTGACAAATTAATGCCACATGCTCAGCGTGTTTTGTCTGTACTTTATTTTGTATTGGACGAAATATTTGTCAACAAAATATACATTTTGATAAGTTTCTGACTCTGAAATAAAATGTTTATTGAACAGACTTAGGTACAATTATGTCTGCAAGCATTGTTATTCTGACTCTTTAAGGCTTAAGCCTTTTGATCCAAATGCTATTTGATTATTGCTGATGTGATATAACTACATGAAGATTACAATATTCATCGAGAGGATGAGGCTTAGAGTGGCTAAATTGTCGTTTGGACTGAAAAAATATCTTTTGAGTGTTGTATTGTACAAAATGTATTATTTATTGATTAAATTATAAAAACTTTTGGACCATGGTCCCTTTTTGATTGTTAGCATTTATTGAAGATCGCAGTGAGAGAAGCGAGGTTAAAATGCACGTAACTAGTTGAAATAATCTGGAATTTCTTTTATCTTTTTTTGTGCATTGTGGAAAAAGAGCATGGAAGTGAACACGGCTTTTCATAACCATTTTATAGTATCAATTTGGATGTTTTCAATCATTTTTAATGTAGAAAAAACTACGTCAATGAAAAAAACTATCTCAAGTACATGTGAGCATAAATTGATTTCTATGGAACTTAACCAATCAGAGAGGTAGAAACTATTTAATCATTTATACCTATAAGAAAGAGCTTCTTCAGATATACATCGTTTGCCTTTAAGACAAATGCTCACGTATTCATCTTGACACAGAAATGTCGAAAACTTCAAAATCATGCATTAGGGAACTCAGTCTCTGGAGATAAAGAACATCATCAAATGGAAAGGAGAATCTGCTGCTAAGTTTGAGAGAAAGCAGAATCGGCGAGAACTTACCAAGGACATTAAGGAGGACGAGTCGCCGGGAGCCCGCTCTTTCTTTGGCACTTATTTGGCATTCGTACACACCAGCGTCATTGATATTCACGTTCTTAATCATCAAATTCCAGCTGCCTCGATATGGAATATGTTGCACGTGATATCTATCGTCTGGTACATATATGTCCAGCCCGACGGAAATAGGATGCGGCTGAGAGGTCCTCCGCCATACTACCTGTGAAATTTATCATTGATACATGTATTCAAATACTAGTATAGATGGTGCATTAACATTGACAAAATGATCTAACTTAATGAATTATTCAAATAATTTTAATGAATTTTGGTATTCCCGTTTTAGGAATCATTCTTGGCTGGCATAAAAGTGTTGGCAACAAGGCATATTGGAAATTTATTTGCGGAACCTAGTTCCAATGAAGACTTTTTATCTTTAATGCAGTACCACCCTCATTGTTCCCAGGAGAAGAAGATATCCTTCAATTCCTCCAAAACTAACGCTCATAAAATACATTTTGGAGACAAAGTTTAAGAATAATTGTATTAAGCCCACAATATCGTTCACTGCTTTAAAAAGCTTGAATTTATCGATATTGATACGTAATTGATGCTTAATTATTTTTCATACTCGATCCAGTACCTCTCCCAAAGCACATCAATCGCGTTCAAGACTTCAGTCAAGACTTAACATTGATCTCCTGAGGCTTAACCTGATCATCGTTGATTCTGACTTCAATTTTAAAGCTATGTTTGTACATGGCTGCAAGACAGAAGCACTAAGCTTGTAATGAAAAAGAAACTAAGTACACATTAAATTAATTATCCCAAAGCATTAAATGCCTTTTTCATGATATACCTAAATCAATTCATTTCAGACGATTAATTTTACACATCTATTATCTCTGCTTCTGATTTGTTTGAATGAACGTTTGAGCTTCAATTGTTCGTATCTCCATATTTCGTGAAGAAACTCCAGTGTGATATGGCAATCACGAGACTTATTCCTCTGGGCAACCTTAACTTACACCTCGCTGACACAATGTATTGACTGTCTTTTTACTAACCACTTTGGTACCTAGGTCTTTGACTCTACAGTAGAGCGTCGCCAGGTCGCCCGCTGTGTAGGTGAAGTTGAACTGAATGTCCATGAATTCTGTGGAGTGGTGATGCTGACAAACATACATACCTAAAACAACAACAACAAAAAATAATTAGTATCACAAGTTGTCAAATCGTTAACCTACAGCAAGAGAATTGACAAAGACATGGCTAGAGACAGAAGTAATCAGCGTCAAATGTCATATTGTTGAATTACTGACAGAGGACTGACATAAAGACATACGTAGGAATAGATTGATGTTGTTTTACATCCCATTCGAGAATTTTCCACTCATGTAGAGACGTCAACATATACCGGTGAACAGCTTCAAATTTTGACCTTTACTCGGCACTCAGGGCCATTGAGCAGTGAGGGATCTTTATCGTGCCAGCGCCTGTCGTGACATGGGACCTCGGTTTTTAAAGTCTCACCCGAAGGACCCACAACTTTCACTTAAAATTGCAGGGTGCATGGCGAAGGAACTGCGGTTACCCTTCAGAACTGACAAAAAGGCAAATCTAGGGTAGAAGTTATGAATCAATGTCGTCAACTGTCAGATGAAGAACTGACCACAAAAACACATCTCTGGTATTTCAGATAGTCTAACAACTGACAGAGAACCGAAACAAAGACACTACTTTATAGAGGAATAGAAGGGATGAACATTGTCAAATGTCAGATAGTGTCTGCTACTACTGATAGAGAATCACAAATACATACCTTGTGTAGAGAGAATGATTTTGTGTCATCAGCTAGTCTATCTAATATTTTGAACCACGGAATTCTTAATTTTTCAGTTTTGCACGGAAACAGAGAGACTTGTTGATTTATTAAAACGTTAGGCAGAGATTGATGACTAAAGAAATAATCACTTCACAGTTTAACACCGTTAAGCGCACCAAAAAGACTGACACCTACGTACCAGAAGTGGTTTACTTGACGTATTTATCTCATCTAATTTTACACTACTCCAATGAATGTACAGAATTTTGGTAAAAAATGAAATTTTATTCATATAAACACTTTTATATAGACATTATGGTTGACACCAAATGTATAGAAACACTGCTAAACAAAGGAATAGTCATTCCTTCTGATGAAAACATGATGATATTTAAGAGGCCGTGTCAGTAACCATTGAGTATTGTATATAAAGTGAGTGGAATGTGAAAAAAAATATTTTGCTTTAATATTTGGGTGCATGGAAGTATAGCTGAATGTCCTTTCAAACATGAGTTATTTGGGTCACATCTTCCTTGTTACCATAGCAACGGTGATTTTAATGCTTGAAAAGTGTAAAATTTGATTATTGATAACCCTGTCAAAATTAATTACAGAATCAAACTATGTTTTTCTTAATTTCAATATATATGGGAGATTTAATTTTTCCCATGCTTATTTTAAAGCATTGGGGCCTACTTTGCTTTGTTTCTACCAAATGCTGTAAAATCAACATGATTTTTATAAATATTTTACACGAAAACGCAACCAAACTCTATCATAATCATACATGCAATAGAAACTACGAGCTTTGAAGTTATAAATCCAATAA